TTTAACGAGCTACTACAAAAACTTTGAAATAAGCCAAATCAACATTACGTTAAAATAACCCGCTAAACTGCAATCAGATAGAACAGTGTCATTCTCAACATAAGAATATGTTTTTCGTTTACAAGATCAAAGCCGACGTCTAGGCCTTGGTTACAAGGTTAATCTCACTGGAACTCATCCAGATTAACCTTTTCCTGAATTCTGAGGATTCATACATAGCCCATTGACAACGGAACTACGCATATAATCATTTTTCTGACACAGAGCGACAAATCGGCGGATAATATAATAAATCCATAGACCAGCGTTTGCTCAACGTACAATCTAAAGGTGCGGTCACACCATGCGATATTTTATTCGATTTTCTTTCGATTACAATCGTACCGCGTGACCACCCAATTGCAAGTCGAAAGCAAAGATTGAAAGTATCGAATGCCGTCCGATATTCAATCGACTTTTTAATAAAAATTGTGACGTCACAATGATTTTCCTTCCGCGAGTAGAAAGAAAAAAAGCAAAATAGGCAACGAATTCTTCTAAATCATATTATTTATTGATATTCATTATAAAAAGTGTATAGATAATACATATGCAAATTAATTTATATTATAGGTAATTCATTTGATAAATACTTATAAATTGTTTAAATTAAAATATGATTATATACTAGTACCCAGCAAAAACATTAAAATACACTTGGAAAGAAAAGCTTTATCATAGAATATAAATCATACAATACCGGACATAGTTTGTAAGCAGGTTAAAGGATGTTAGTGCATGCAATTACATGTATGTCATTTATCTACAATCCTTCTGAACCCAACTTTTCGATTTTTTGTTCATTTTACGGTAGGTGAAATGAATGAACTTTATTTCAATTATATTGGCCAAATTAAGTAAATTGAAGTGAAACAGTGAAAAGTCACAAAATAACAATTTTAGTTATTAGAAAAAGAATTTAAAAGCATACTGACTTTAAATAAAGTTTACTTTTAAAAAATATATTTATATATCTACAATCAGACGTAAACGTCAGTTTAGTAATTCAAAAATGAAGGGTCAACGTGAATGATGCGAAAGATTTCGGATGAATTTTAAAACTTATAAAGCCATTTTTACGAGTTCGGATGCGAAAAATAAAATAAAATTTGAAAAAAAGAAATCCATTTTTTCCAGCCATGTCAGTGGATTACGTAAAATATGAGAATACAAACAATTGGGTTCATTTTTTATACATGCTGTCTTTTTCATCATTTATGCAGAAGTTGAAAAATATGTAAATCACTATGATGTCAATAATATCAAACGTCATAATTAATATTGGCAAAAATGACGTTATGTAAAACTGAATAAAAAGTTAAATACAAATTGATTATATTATTGAAAAATCAAGTTATTTACAAATGATTTTACTTATCATAAATTATATAAAAACTAAAATACAATACACGTGCATGCAATTTTCTCGTCAAAATCAAATCGTTTGTAAATTGAATGTTAAATCTGTCGTGTGACCACCCCATCAATCGAGTCCATACGACTTACCTGAGCGAATGAAAGTCAAATGAAAAATCACATCGTGTGACCGCATCTTAAAATCAATATCTTCACTCGGTTCCCTTTAATTTTAACCGTTTGCTGATACCCCAAAGTTACAGTAGTTTGAAGCCTTAAATAATCATTACTAGTATTAGGTTACAGAAAAACCTGATTATATTTAATTTAAAGTATATATGTCTGCTACATTATTGGTGTTGCGCCCACCCCTAATTATGCATATTTTCCTTTTGTCTTTTGAAATCGATATTGCAGTTGGATTTTTTCCAACATCAAATTTTTTAAGGAATCCTCCACTTTTGTTTAACACATGAAGATATCGTGAAGCCTTTTCACATATATATACATTTTTTTCTTCATCAAGGATAAGTCCCGCTGGCCCTTTCATATCGCTGGCAGAATATGTGAATCGATTGTCGCCATTTCCAACAATGCTATAAACCTTGTGGTTTTGTATGTCAGAGTAAAAAATTAAGTTATTATTGTACGCACAAACATATCTTGCATCTTCTCCTTGAACGGTTAATGTTTTTGCTTCTTTAAAATCACTGTCACAGAACACTATCTTTTCCTTGCCTGCAATAATTGTTGTCCCTTTCTCCGAATAACACACACCATAGCAATTAATTGAAATGTCGACAAATCGTTTAGCGCTTGGATTCTCAAAACTTCCAATCAATAATTTTTCTTCTTTTGGAAAGGTCATGACAAATCTATCCTCAGGTAGGACGGTTACATCGTATGGTTTATGATTTAATGGGATTTTTTGCGTTAGTGTACCATCCTTTGTGTGGTATATACGGGCTTCTGGTTTCCCTTTTACTGGAGCGTCGGCAATGATTATTTCGTTATCTGATTTCCAGTCGCACCCTGTAACGTGAGAATTATCATTTTCTACTATTACTGAAATTGAGAGAGTATATGTTCTTCCTCCAAACTGAATAATTGACTTATTGGATTGTTGGAGAGCTCCGGCAAATAGATTCATTTCGCTAGAGGCTCGCTGTATCAATCCAAGATTTTCCTTTCCTTCAAAGATATTTAGCTCACTTGTCCAGCGGCTGATTCTCTTGAACCTTTCCTTTGATGCGTCTGCATGAATTTCTGAGCTTACTGCGTAGACAGGCTGTCTCTCCCTCAAAATCCCAAAATTTGATATCTCAAACAAACCTTGCAAAGACGTATTAAAATAAATGGATATGTCTTGAAATTCTTCTTCCTTAATTTTGGCAACAAATGTTTGTACTTCTACAATAGTATTCTTCACCTTTTTTCTCTCCAAAAATGATCGGATTCCTGAGCTGCTCTGAAATACTGATGTTATTCTTCGAGCGTTTTCCAATGCGTATTTTTTCTGTTGCAATAAAATGGAATTTGACTTTATTTCTTGTAACTTAAAATTAGAAATTTTGTAAGATTCTGCTAACAACAAATCTGTTTTTTCAATCATGTTTCTTTCTATTGTATCACCCATTCTCTTCAAGGAACTTAAATTGTCTTGAAAGAAGTCTCGAATCATAACTTCATCATTGGAGAATTTTGTCATCATGGTACTTATTTCATCTAGAAGTATTTTGATGGAGATTTTCAGAGCAAACAGTTTTGAATCAACCATACTTGATATTTCTGAAATATCCTTATGTTCGCCTAAGCAGACATCTATGTGGTAACAGGAAATACATGTATCACAACATACATTTCCACTTGATTTGCATATTCGATTGATACGTAAGCCATGACGATTGCAAATATCTCGTGCTGAAGGCAGCAGTGTTGTTATTTTTGCCGTTTCCTCCCTTTTGTAGGTTTTGTGATTTCCCAGAATGGGTAAGGAGGAATGAAATAGAAAACATTCGTTACAGAGGTAAACAACGCAATCAAAGCACCAGTATAGAGAGGAAGTGGACTTCCCTCGATTTCTGCATGGTGTGCAATCGGGCTCCTGATTCCATTCCCAGAAGTCTAGCAAAGTTAAGACAGCTTTAGGCGGTGAAAGTAATCTAACTATCTTTTCTTTTACATCTTGTGTATCTGAGAGATATTCCAGGCGCGTCATGTAGTTGCAGACGAGACACTTTAGAGCAAAACTTTCTGCATATTCTTCCTTATTTTCTTCTATGAATTTCATTAAGCATGGTTTGCAAACGGAATGCATGCATTGCAATGTTATTGATGCAATGAAATTATTTTCACAAAACGTGCAATTTAATATTGAACGCGATTTTGTGTCTTCCTTTGTTTCATTTTGTTCTACATCGCATGATGTCGCTATTGTCTCTGAAGAAAAACAAAAAGATTGTGTACTTTGAAAAAAAAATATTTCATTTCATCTATCATATGTACTATATCGGTTTTTTAAAGAATTCATTTTCTCGATAAAACCAAAGCATAATTAAATAGTATTGAGCAACTCTTCTGTTCAGCTTAATACATGTAGCTAAGTTAGAATATCATGAGAAAAAAAATATAAATTTATCATTTTCAATATAATTTAAAATAATTATTTCAGAAGGAAAAAACATTTTGAGTTGGTTTAATCCATTCCTGAGATTTGAGTGCGGACATTTTTAATAAATTGTTTAATATAACTCACATCCCAAGGACCTTTAGTTACCAATAAACGTTATCATAATTAAAAAAGAAGCATAATTACACTAATATTATATATCCGACATATCAACATATCATTAAGAATATCAACTAGGAGTGGTTTACGTGTATGTGTTATAACTATTGTGAAATCATCATTAATGTTTGAGGAATTTTGCCTCACACAATTTCCCACGAACGATAACTTAAATATTGTCAAATTTCTCAAATCTGATTATTTTCGTAATAAATTGTAATGAGAATGCAACCCTGAAAGATCCTCTCATAATCTCTGTTAGATAAAAATAAAGCAGTATATACCCTTGTAAAATTGGATAATGTTTACGTGACTCAATATTTGAGATATCATGATCCTTCAACTACCTTTTGTAGAAATTCAAATCAACGACAACAAACATAATCAACTAAAACATTACTGCTGGAAAAATCAAACGAATATACATATTTATGATAAAAATTAAAATTTGTCGATAATTGAAAAACATATATCCAGAAAATCATCAGATACCTTTCCTGTCATCCATTATCACTAATCTGTTCTATTTTGTGAGTATAAGTTCAAAGTCATCAAAAAAGGATAATATTTGAAATGAACAAGACCTGTTTTCCGATTAGTTTAAAAGCAATACAGTATAACTTTTTTTAATACGAACCGGAGAATCTCATCTCATGCTACGTAATTTTGAAAATTTGACTTAATTCCCTTCCTCTGCGAAAATTATTAGAATTTATTCGTAAAAACTTCCGGAGAAATTTCTCTTGTCACGATTATTTCTTGAATTAAACACTGCTCTTTCTGCTGTCCATTGTTTAGGGTGCAGACTGTGCGAAGGATGAGTTCTCAGGAACTTATAATTTGTCCAATATGTTTCGAAAAGTTCACCAAACCTCGCTATCTACCTTGTCTACACACGTATTGTGAAGACTGCCTTTCGGATTACATTTCATCATCTTACAAGGAAGAGGTGGGAGGATTTGTGTGCCCAACATGTCGGTCATTCAACCAAGTGCAAATGTTGGGCGGTACCTCAGCTAAGGATATGGCAAAAAGTTTTCCTGTAAATCATTTAATTACGACTTTGCTTGATCAACATCAATTGGAAAAGAGAGAGGTTACATGCCAGCCTTGTGCTAAAAGAGGAAAAAACGAAAGTGGCAAATTTTGGTGTTACTCATGCAGTGCTGCACTTTGTGAAGCTTGCGGGGAATTTCATACATCATTACCAATTCTAGCCGATCATAGGATTGCTCCTATTGATGATTCCAAAGTTAAAGGTCTACTTGCAACAAATGCTCACGACCATTGCGTTGTCCATCCCGCAAAGAAACTTGAAATGTTTTGTGAAGATCACGATGTCGCTTGCTGTGTCACTTGCACAATGGTAAACCACAGAAAGTGCGAAACAGTTTTAACACTGCACGATGCTGCAAAAGAATTCACAGAAGGAAAGTACGATATTATCAATGAAATAGAAATGCTGATTAAAAATATTGACACTAAGGTTGATATTTTAACCACGAATTATGAAAAATTAGAAAAAGGCAGTAAGATTTGTGGAAATGAAATTCAGAAATTTAGCGATAAGTTGATAAAACATTTGAAAAAGCTGAAAACAGACTTTGAAACAAAATTAACTAAAATTTGTGATACAAAATTGCACACGATTCAAGAGCGTAAACAGGCATTGCTTGATATGCAAACCATGTTATCACATTGTGGAGATCTTCTACAAGCTGCTGAAGAGAAATGTTCAAAAGCACAGCTTATGACACTGATACCAAAGATTTCAGAGCTTAGTGATAAGAGTAAAAGCAAGTTAGAGGAAATTAAGAAGTCCCCCATCACACTAGACTCAGAGGTCGTCATTGTCAAAGAGATTGAACAGTGTGGAACAGTAGAAACATTGGGAAAATTGGAATAGAAACTTTATAAGAATATTGCACACCTTAGGCATAATATTTCACTATTGACTTGAATGTACATGCACGAAAGCATGAATATCAAAAGCAAATTTAATTTAAATATTTAAACAGATCGCACTGATAATAAAAAATGGACACAATTTTACCACTTTGCTGCAAAATCAGTATGATTTGAAAATGATTCCTATGCAAAAAGCTTCAGAAATTTTCATTTGCATGTGATTCATTATGATTTTGTAAGTGTATGTTAATAAAGCCTTTTCAATATCTCTGGCAATCGCCTCTTTCATTTTATTATTCAAAGTATTTGAGTACATGTACAATGGTGGTGACAGTATGATATCAAATAAGATGGCAATGAAATTTTGTAAATGAGTATTTATGCTCTGGGCTACAGAAATAAGGAGATATGACTTTCAACATCATTTGACATGGAAAAGGCAGCTATTTCCACCAGCAATACTTCGTAATCAGATTATCAATGCCTTAAAATCTAATTATCTAAATCTTTAAATTCTACTCCATTCAGTATTTTAAAACCACCAACTACTTAAATTGAATTCGTATGGAAAGTTACTTGGTTTTTACAGAAAATTTATCTATAAAGTAAATCAGGTTAGCATATATTTCTTTCATATTTTTCATCCCTCCCCCCTGCTCCATCTGATAAGGATATGTGTATGTTATTTTACTTTTTGAAGGGTTAAATGTAACCCTTACAGTAACGACTGACAACTGACTGGGAGTTTCAAAAATGACAGAAATATCTTCAAATTAGAATAAACTTTTGTCGCAGCGTCCGCAAATTTCTTAGAGAAGGTAATTATTTAAAATGTTTCTCCAATGCATATACGTCGACACCACACGGAGAATAGATTTTTGATGTTACTTTAAGTTCGATTTCTTGTAAAAGGCAGAAAAGCAACACTGTTAGCATGGAATAAATTTGTTTTAGCAAAGAAATTTTGTCTTGCTGTCACCATATGTTTTATTGTCCATTAAATGTAAGATATTTACCAAAATTAGTATGTTTCAAAAATTTAATTGTGAAGCTGTTCTATTTATGTCCCATAAGAGATTATTATTACAAAATGTTAAACAATCAAAGCTATCTAAAACATCTGATATATCATAATGGTAAATATCGCAAAGCTCCATGTGCTCTAAAGATATGCACACAGCTCTAAAGATATGCACATAGGACACTGCGTATATTGATTTGGTTGTTTTGATTCGACTGCGACATGGTGAACATTTGGGTTTATGAGTCAAAGAGAGTTAAAGTAATGTCGGATGGAGATTTCTTAATATTCTCAGAATATTAAAAATTGCGTTCGCTTTCTTAATGGTGTATATTCCATATAGGCAATAAGGCTGTAGCCTACACATCATTTTCTTGATGTAAAAAAAATATTTATATATACATATATCGTTCTCATTTCGAATACACTATATGTAACTCAAAGCTTGAAAGCTTAGTGGAGGAATATCTATAAAGTGTCCCTTAAACATTTATCAACAAATCTCTAAAGAGAAGTCCACAGTTCAACAATCCCTGCCATCATTCCTATTCCAACAACTATAAATTCTGTCACATTAAAATCATACTCTTGTTAATGCATTTTAATTTCTTGTAAATATCCCGTGGGGAACACCTTCTTTTTAAACTTAGTACCTTTGTATATAATTATCCTATATTGAACCTAAATTCACTGGACTTTAAAGCTCGCCAGTTCGTGAAAGTAAGTTTGGAAACGGCAGTCCAGAGTGGAGGACACTTTTACCCCTCTAACATGTCTTATACGTTTTGTATCCAGCATTTAAACATTTTCGTGACGTCATTCTTTTGTTTCTACAGTCTCCTATTTCAAAGAGTGTACTAGCTATAGTCCAATATTATTTTCAGGAGTACAGTATTATATCTGATATTGTACTCTAAAATAATACTGGACTGTGAAACAAAGGATGACGTAACCTAGCTTTTACACAACGAATTGATAAGGCAACAAATAGACAAAAATTATGCATTTTATTTAAGGAATTAATCTAATAGCTACCCATTTTATACGGTATAAAGTGGTTTGTGACAGCTTACGTTTTATAAACCGTGAAGCGGTTTATAAAAAAAGCGTAAACTGTTCCAACCCACTTTATACCAAATAAATTGGGTAGTTATTAATTTCATTCCTTATAATTTAATTTTCATTCATTTAGTGTAAGGTCTCCGTCTTCATACTTAGCCCAACGTCTGACATAATGTTCGACAGAATTCAATATAAATTTAGTTCTGTTGCCAACTGAAAGAGCGGGACTCCCTATTTCTTAATGTGATTTAATGGCCACTACACTCACTCGAATCCCCTTGGCCCTGCTTTTTTATTTCTATAGTAATATATGAGACTCCGCTTCTTTATTTACTCAAGAGTAAGGTAAAATGTTGAATATGTAATACAAAGCAGAGAGAAATATATATTTAATCTACAAATTACTAGGCAAAGGTAAGGGATCAGATTCAAATATATAAAAAAAAAAAAGACTGAAGAAATTTGACTATTTAATTTTGTAAATCATTATATGGATCGATAATTCTAACTCAACATTGATAAATGTGTTTTTTCCGATTTCAAGGTCAAATATCAATTACAAATTTGAAAGACAACTTTAATGTATTTATTTGAAACAATCGGTGCGCAGCACAGTTAAGGCTACAAAAAGGGGGCGGAGACTAATTTGTACGGGAAAGTTAACTATGACATCATACAAAACCAACAATTCTTTAAAATACCACAAAATGAAATGATTTGCTATTTTAAACTGTAGGAGACCATTAAACTACATAAAAACTTATTACAATATGCTGTTTTGTCGTTAGTTAAATCCCACATAGCAAGGTATAAACAAGTCACTGATCGCGATGCACTTTTCGATCTGACGTCATTTCGTAAAACTTGACGCAGTTTGTATGCAGTGAGAGGCGGATCAAGTAATGTTTTCTCAACAAAAAATGTATTCTATAATTAAATAAAATGCCATTTACAGATATTTCAGAGGCAATTAACTTGGATGCAATATCTTCATTATGATTTTATTCATTTATTTTCCGTACATTTTCTGTTTTATTGATACTGCCGTACATTTGTATGCAGGTTCATCGGAGGGTAATGTAAGGGTCTTAAAAAATCGATCTAGTGCAAGGGCATACACTCAATGGATCATAGTTATTAAGTTTTTACAAATAAACTGTAAAAGTATTAATGTATCTGAAAAGTGCTGCGGTCCTGGTGAAATCTTGAAAATAATTTCATTATATCTATATTCAATGCCGTTGACCAGCAAAAAATACAGCATACGGTCATACAAATACGATTTTAACAATGAAATAGCAGAATCTATATAGGATCGCAGCACTTTTCAGAAACTACAATGCATGTTGAAAATATTTATAAACTAAACTTAGAATTTAAACTTGGTTATGCCTTTGCACTAGTGAAATTTGTAGGTGACCTTAATACTGCAAGTAAACGTGTTAAAATCACGCGACTGTCGCATCACGTAACAAGTCTAAATATAAAATCTTATCGTCCTCATTATGTAGTAATTAACCATAATTACATTTGTCCAATAAAAATAAAGTACTGAAAAGAATCGCCATTCTGATTATGAATACATTTTTAATCACAAAAATTTGCCGATACTTCCATTGCGCACCTTAACTGTATTGTGTGGCAACTTATTCTAATATCTGAGATTTGATCATTATACTTAGTATAGCGTCTAGCCAATTACACAGCTTAAACAAATATGCAAATTTGTTATTGCAAATAATTAGATGAACGTATATCATAAATTTATTGGCAATATTTTGCTTTAAAAATTAGCAGATATAAACACTTTTACTCTCTTAAACCTAATATCCCGTTTTACAAAAGACCTTAGGACTATAGCCAAAAACTTTGATTGATTGTAAAATCTTACAAAACTTTTGTTTCAGTGCTAAATTGCTTGCATAAAAAGCATTAAAATCCCTTTCTTAATTCTTTTTAAAAAGATTAAAACCATTTTCAAATAAATGTTAAAAAAAAAAAAGAAGAAGAAGAAGAAAGTTATTCGCATCATATTATTTTAGTCTTAGTCTTAAGTTCTTTTGTAAAACGGAGCCTTAATCTTGTGCTAATGGAATGCAGTAAGCATGATTTTGATTATGCTTACAGGGAGTAACTAGCATATATATATGTCTGCTACATTACTTATGTGACGCCCTCCCCTTACTATACATATTTTTGTTTTGTCTTTGGAAAGCGATATCGCCGTTGAATTCTTTCCAACTTCGTACTTTCTAAGTAAAGGAGAAAGGCCTCAAACTGTCCATTCTGTGAGAGAAAGAACTAATCGAGGGCCGTAGGCCCGAGATTAGTTCTTTCTCTCACAGAATGGACAGTTTGAGGCCTTTCTCCTACTAAAAAAATGATTTCCTTATTTCTAAGAATATAATACTGGTATCAGATATGACCGGTAGCACACATACAATGACAAAGTCATTGTTTACAGAATGGACAGTCACAGGTAAGCTGGGATGCAGAGAAATTTGTTGAATACTCCTTGTGTTTTCAAATGCAAATAACAAAAGGTTTTTGTCTAAAGAATGGACAATTACAGGTGGATTTTGGTGGATACTAGTATTTATACAAGGATGTGATGCTTCAAAATCAATTTATAGTTTGCGTTGCAAAGGCATGCATGTTGTCCTCCGATGGAGAGAGTATGACAGAATCAAAATCTACTGAACGAAAAGATGCACAAAATCAGTGATAGTTGGACCTGGGAACAGAGAATAGTAAGAGTAAAAAAAATATTAGCCAAACTTCGACCCAAAAATGAATTTCTTCTTCGACAGATACAGATAATCAAATTCGAATCAAATCTGTAAATGTTTTATTTGAATTCAATTTTTGAGGATATATTGACTACAGCAGTGTAACGGTGAGATGCAAATTGTGTTCTGAGTGTTGGATTTGCCACGAGCCAAACTTCGATCTGAAAATGTATTTCAAATCAAATCTGGAAATGTTTCAATATTAATTATTTTCTATGGAAGCAGTGAAGTGTTCATGGTGTAAAGTAGGTGGTGGATTTAGTATTAGTCGTTCTTCATTCTTAAAATGGATTCTTCTCAAGGGAATGATGTTTTCGAAATTTAAATCAAATGTGAAATTGTGTCATTTCAATTCAAATTTTGTGAAAATTGAGCTCTGAGTATATAATGGGCATAATTCATTAAAATTATTAAAAGTGTAAAATTGAGCGGATGCTGTGCAGACATTGTGTTCTGGAGTTACTTAGATCTCTACGTTCTTTTTGTTATTTACATGTAAATTAAATCGTATTTAATGTATTTGTTTTTGTTTCCTCTTGAGCACATTCCAAAGTTTACCTGTAACTCTTCATTCTGTTTGTTTTAACTGTCCATTCTTTTTGGGAAAAAAAACTGTCCATTCTTAAAAAGAATGGACAGTTTTCCAAAAAGAATGGACACTTACAGGTAAATTAATGGATTGTTTGGGGAGTTAGCTCAACATTAAGCTATAGAATGGACAACACAAACAAAAGGTTTACGTCACAATCATGTTTTAAGAAATGATCCACCTTTGTTCAAAAAAAAGATTTTCAGAACCCTTTTCACAAACATACACGTTTTTGTATTCATCAAGAATAATTCCTGCTGGTCCCTTGAGGTAGGTATCGTCATACGTGAATCTATTATCGCCATTTCCAATAACCCTACAGATTTCGTTGTTTTGCAAATCGGTGTAAAAAATTAAATTATTGTTGTAAGAACAGATATATCTGACATCATCTCCATCAACAATTAATGTTTTTGTTTCATCAAAATCACTATCGAAAAACGCTATATTTTCCTTGCCAGCAATAATTGTCCCTTTTCCCCAGTGACATACACCATAACAATTAATTGAAACATCGACGAATCTTTTGGAACTAAGATCTTCAAAACTGGCGATTAATAATTTCTCTTCTTTCGGAAATGTCATGACAAATTTATTGTCCGGCAGGACGGCTAAGTCATATGGTTTATAAGCTAAAGGTATCTTTTGCTTTAGTGTACCATCTTTTGTGTTGTATATACGGGCTTCTGGTCTTCCCTTTACAGCAGCGTCGGCAATGATTATTTCGTTATCTGATTTCCAGTCGCATCCTGTAACGTGAGAATTTCCATTTTCTATGTTTATTGAATTTGAAAGTATATATTCTCTTCCTCCAAACTGTAATATTCTCACAACAGATGCACAACTACATTGTTCGGATATTGTTTTCGTTTCACTGCTGGAATGTTGCAAAGTCCAGCTGATAGATTTATTTCGCTAGAGGCTCGCTTTAACAACCCAATATTTTCCTTTCCTTGACGAACATTTATTTGACTTCCCATCGACTGATACTGTTTGAGTTTTCCTGTTTTGTATCTGTATGGGCTTTAACGCTTGGCAATTCTTCAGATTGTCTTTGCCTAAATGTTCCAAAAGTGGCTAGTTCAAACAAATTTTTCAAAGATTGATCAAAGAAAATGGAAATGTTTTGAACTTTCTCTTCCTTAATTTTTTCAACAAATTCTTGTACTTCTAAAAAAGTATTCTTTACTTTCTTTTTCTCAAGAAATCCACGGATTCCAGAGCTGGCCCGAGAAACTGATATTAGTATGCTTTGTGCATTTTCCAACACACATTTTTTTCGTCGCAGAGCAATGGAATTGGACTCAAATTCATGTAGCTTAAAATAAGCAATTTTTTAAGACTCTGCCAGTAACAAATCTGTTTTCTCCAGAATGCTTTTTTTCTAAAGTATCACCCAGAGATTTTAAGGTGCTTAGACTGGTTTCAAAAAAAATTAAAATCGTTGATTCAACCTCAGATGCATCGTTGAAAATTCTTTTTCTTTCATCGAAAAGTGTTTCGATGGAAATTTTCAGAGCCGACAGTTTGGGATCAACCATACTTGATATTTCTGATATATCTTTATGTTCTACAGAGTAGACATCCATATGGTCACAGGAAATACATGTATCACAACATATGTTTCCAGTTGATTTGCATACTCGAGTGAAACGTAAGGCATGACGATTGCATATATCTCGTGCTGAGGAAAGAAGTATTGTTATCTCTGCCATCTCTTCCCTTTTGTAGGTTTTGTGATTTGCAAGGATAGGTAAAGAAGAATGAAATAGATAACATTCGTCACAGAGGTAAATAGCGCAATCAAAGCACCAGTATATTGAGGAAGTGGACTTCCCTCGATTTGTACATGGTGTGCAGCCACATTCTTGATACTGTTCGGAGAAGTCTAGCAAAGTTAGGATAGCTTTAGGCGGTGAAAGTGACCTGAATATTTTTTTCTTTTACGTCCTGTGTCTTTGAGATATATTCCAGACGTGTTATATAATTACAGGATTTGCACTTCAGAGAAAAAATTTCAGTCTCTGTTTCACTGTTTTCTTCTATCAATGTCATTAAGCATGGTTTGCACAGGGAATGAAGGCATAGCAGGGTAACTGGTGTAAGCAAAACTGATTTGCAAAAAATACAATGTAGCATAGAACACGCTTCTTTCTCTCCTTCCATTATATTCTATTCTTTCGTGTTGTTATGATTTCTGTAAAAGATATAAAATAACATATATGTGATAGAAGACAAAATACGCAAGTATAACTTTTGCGATCTGGGCATTTTATGGATTCTAATGGAATTAATAAACTTCATTATAAGGCATTATAATTTTTGTGATTAATATTCGGTAATCTTGGCAAAAGTATCAGCTATACAATACCGTCTGTTAATGACTCAAAAACCCTTTTACATGTACTAATATTTTGTTTACATTGACATATACACTTTGCATTGGCAGTGCACACTCCATGCTCTTACATTTAGTCTGTACATGCACAAAATGCCTAAAAAGGCAGAAATATTTACTTGATTAATTGAAGGTAGCCATGGTTCCCCGGTAAACAAACAGCTTTTGATATAATGAACAAATACATTTTGCAGTTCAATTATTTTCATTTCAATGTCGTAAGACTAACAAGAGGAATTCGTTGATTTCACAATACAAAACTCTTAGTTTTTTTTTTCTTTTTTAACATTTTCAAAACAGTTAGCAATATACCAAAGTTATTAGTATACATTCCTTTAGATAGAAAAATAACCCAGTTAATAAATATTTCAATTATTGAACCATGTAAAGAAAAAGGAATTTTGATTTAAATAAAGTTTATTTGAACCCTTGATTATATATATATATATATATATATATATATATATATATATATATATATATATATATATATATATATATATATATATATATATATATATATATATATATATATATATATATATATATATATACTTTTGGACTTATTTTGGTTGTAAATAATGCATATAATAAATTTCTAAAATATTAAGAAATCGTAAACTTTCTATTATGATGACAAATCTACCTTTCTGCGGCCATCCTTATCAATCTATGCAACTTTTTGTCACCTTAGATCATATTATTGTGAAACTTTGAATGAAAAATTTAAAAACTATGCAGGTAAACTTATTCGTTTTACTTAGATAAACAAGACAAAAGTTGTTAATTTCAAGATTTTTGATATATAAGTTTGTCTGTATCAACTGGTTTTAATCTAAATATTTTCGTCAAGAAAAAAATAGCAATTTCCACTATGGTCTTCTTTTTATGATTCATGACTTAGATCCATATACATATTTGTACTAGGGATGTCAACAAAAAGTCGACTATTCGACTATCAGATGGATGGGCAGACAATCGAATAATAAAACAACATTCGAATAAGATAATTATCCTTAACGAAAACTGACTTTCCGTTGTACATGGGAAAAGAAATTCTACTGCTTCACTAAAGCGAGAATTGTTTGTTTTAATTACTGTTGATAATTTTTGTGTATGCATCATTTTACTGGGTACTGATTGGAAAATTACAATGAAAGTACAGTTAACTGGACTCGATGGATACCACGTATCCATTATATTTTGTTATGGTAAGAATGCAGAAAACACAACGTAGCTGAGACATGTTTTGATATTTCGATGATTATTAAAACAACTCGTTTTCATTGTAAGGACATTTTGATAGCCGGGGATATCAATATAACACAGGCACCTGATGTGTGCTTAACTACCCCCCCCCCCCAATATTATTTTAATGAGCTCTAAAAATATCCTGCTGGCACTTCTTTCACTTCATTGACTTTACAGACAAATTTATGAATGTTATTGACGGGAAAATCACACATTCTTGAGAAATTAGCGGCTATAGATTTATTTCGCTTGCAAGTTATCTGCCTTTGAACAATACATTGCAACATCTATGTCTAACACAGGCATTTGATACGAAGGCCGATGTCAGCCTGTACATATTCCAAAAATTGAAATTTGTGCATTTAAAATGTACATTGACATGTACATTTTGCACTGACAGTAATCACCTCGTTCCCTTTCATTACATTTTGTACATGTACAAAATGGCAAAAAGGCAAACGCCAAAAAGTGGAGACATAAAACACAAATGCTTATTAAAATTCCTAATAGGAATAAAATTGTACTGCTGCACTGGGGAGAGTTTTAAAGTAAGAAAGACTGAAAAATATTGGAAGAAAATGTTGTGAACAATAGCTACATGTATAATTAATTTAATTAATTTGAATGCCTTTGAATGCCTTTTTGACATTTTGTGCATGTACAGACTAGACAAAATGCAAGAGCATGAAGTGCACTGCAAGTGCAAAATATCAATGTACATTTTAAGGGTACAAAATTCAATAGCAGTCTGTACAGACTAATATTGACCATCATAATTTGATGTTACTTTTTAATAAGTGAAAGGGTTTTTGAGTCATAAATATACGTCATGCACCAGTGAATTCACCAAAGTAGGATATATCTTGTTTAGTCTTTGCTTAAATAAACAAATGAAAAAAAGTTTGAAATTATTCTGAATATTAGACTTTGGTCGGATAATGCACTAGAATAATTTACTAAGGAGAATAAATATTTTGACATCCCTAATTTGTATCTATAAACATATGAATTTAGATATCTAAAAATTGGCATTCAAAATATTCACCATTCTTTCTTTTCACTTAAAACTAACTATGAAATAATTTTTGTATGAATTTTTGTTAATTGAACTTAAATATTTTTTTATTCAGTCAACTAGATCTTTTTTACAGATTAGAAAATACTCCAGACTACAACAGTGGATGAATTTTACCTTTTTTTCCATTCAGCATTTGGACATTTTAGCTATTGCTATTTTGGAGAAAATTTATTAAAGCCATCGTTTATTTTTCTTTTTGCTTTAAACTGGTAATCTATTCAAGTTATCTATAAAATAGGATTCTGCATAATTAAATATTATTTTATTGATTGATTTAATATTTGGATTCATTATAACCAATGACGTATAGAGGGAATATGTCGTGAATTGCACTCTGTAACCAGTAAAAACTTTTAAAAATTACTAATTATTAGGGATGGCAACGAATATTCGAACATTCGAATATTCATTCGATGAGTTGATATTCGAATATGAATTTAAGATTCGAATATTCGGTGTTTTTCAGATTTCATAAAAAGAAGTACTGTGATTAATAAATTTTGATTAGAACAGTGCAGGAATTATCCCTGTTTAATTTACTAGCGATCAATTTCGATCGCCTGATTTCTTTCACTACTTTCTTATAGATTTACTAAATTACATGTATTTTGTTTTGAGTAAGGTGTTAAAGAATTGTAAAAAAATGCTTTATGTATAATACAAAACGTACTTTCATAGTTTTTATTAGTTAGATACGATCGGATCTAGAATCGAGGACAAAAATGAAATCTAAGAATGTCTAAAAGGCGTAAAGAGTATACTTATCAAAATAAAATTAATTGATCATTGAATCAATGTCTGATAGAATTAATCTGTAATTAATATTGTAAAGGGTTTAATTTCAGAATAAATGTGTAAATTACTTGATTATATCGGGTTGTACATAATCCTGAATTTTATATTCATTATCGGGAAATTAGTTAATTACCTAGGAAAATTGTCTATGGAAATATTTGTTTACATTGTATCAAAGATTATAATCATATCTCTTATTAAGCAGATAATTGTAATTTATTACACGTATTGAAATCTGAACAGTATACCGTTACGACTATCTTGCCTTTTGTAAGACGACTGGTTCCTCAGTTGGAACAACTATGAATACACGTTTCATTTGTTAAAATTATACTTTTCTACATTTAAATCAATTATTTATTTCAAACATTGACAAATATCAAATGGGATTTCTTATTATTCACCTACAAATGTCTCCATACAATTTTACTTCCAATATAAGTATACCTACGCTAAACCTTTTATGAGAGTAGGATGATGCATATTTAAAATAAAACAGATTTATTTATTTTATCGAATATTCGAATATATTCGAATACTTTCATTGAATATTCGAATATGAATTATGGACAAAATTGACATCCCTACTAATTATATAATCAAATCACTGAAATAGTCAACAAAAACTATAGTTTTGATAGTTCATTAAGATGCTAACTAAAATGTTTTCAGTAAGTGTGTTTTTATAACTCAAAAATGATTTTGTTTACTTGTACGTGTCATAATAAGATATCACAGTGCTTCTTTTATGATCAAATTATTATGTATAGTACATGTATAGTCATATCTAACTTTTTTGTTTTCATATTATTAAATGTTATATATCTATCATCTCTCTGAATTCATGTAAAATCTCAAAAGGATAAATAATACAAACTTTTTTTTCCAGAAATCAGCAATATTTCTCATAGATAAATATTTAAATAGGTTACCTAAATGAAATTCTCCAGGTAAAGAAGAAAAAAATTGTAAGATTTTGTCACGATGTCAAAAATATGTGCAAAATTTTGTATAGGATTATATAGAAACCAAAACAAAGTCGCATATTTTAGCACCAAAGAAAACTTACGATTTCTTTATATTTTAGGGATTTATTAATTATACCATTTCCATTCAAAAAATATACTCAATCCATGCATCAAATTTTTGTTTTTGTTATGTATCCTTAATTGCGTCTCTTAAGAACCCTCTCTACACTGCACACTAAAGAGTTCTGATTCTAAGGTATTTTTTTCTGCAATTAGAGTGATTTGCCCTTAGATTTAAATTCTAAACATTAGAAATTTACAGTCTATTACTCAATTTGTAATCAATTCAAGTATTCTTAACATTTTAAAAGGCCAAGATAAATTAATTGAACATGTTATTTACATGTATTTTCTCTATGGAGGTAAACAACAGTGGTTTCTGTTCACTGATACTGTGTTATGTTTGAACATTTTTCCTGGGGGTAAATGTCACGTACCGTATAGTGAAAATTAAACAGAAAAGCTCAATATTAACACCTTTATACAATATATTTTTCTCAATGTCCAAAAAATAGTTTGCACTGGTGTAGAGAGTGTCCTTAATCACAGGAAATTTTATTTTTAAATTTATGCATTATCAATTGCAAAAATATGTTTAACAGATATTCCTAAAAATGCAAGTACTTTTCCATTATATTGATGATAATAAAATTTTAGACTGGCTTGCCTGTCTGAAATGCGCAATATACAATACTTTCGAACGATAGAGACAGGCAATACCAGTCTAAAAAAAATTTAGGTACTATACAGCACTCGAATAGTATGATATTATATATGACGCAACATTCGCATGCAGGATTTGTCTTTCTTGTGTTTACTTCTAATTTTCTATTTGTTTATCTCAGGGTCTTTTGATACTTCTGGCTTTAACAGGAAAATATATTATATGATTAAACGTTCTTTCCAAGAATTTCTCTACGTGTAAACTTATATCTTTGTACTCACAAACTTAACATAAATTGCAAACAAAAGCAACATTTAATACAGGCATTAACACGGGTCTTCATACACATTTAAATCTATTTGGAACGTTTGCTTGTTTTTCTAATAGAAAACAATAAAGCATATCAAATCTTGAGAAATACTTCATTTCCACTTTAAGATGAAATTCAAAATAAAGTGAAATATGATTTTAAATACAAGAAATACAGATAACCAGACAATCAGATACCTCCATTATTATTGACGTGTCCTACTTTGCAAATAGAGGTAAAGGTCAATGAAAGAATAGTAGTTGACTAAAAACAATTCAATTCCGATAACTTACGAATGCTAATAATTTTTTTTTTAAATGTCAATATGTGAAGAAGAATATATATTTCCTTTGCCACACAATATTGTAAAATTGATCCCCCTTTTCATGAAAACGTGCGAAAATGCACGTCACCAATTTCGGGAAAACAATATTTGCCCAGGTTATTTTTAAAATTAAACACCACTCTTTCTTATTTCTGTTTTATTGTGTAAATTGTGAGAAATATGAGCTCTCAGGAACTTATCATTTGTCCAATATGTTTCGAAAAGTTCAACAAACCCCGCTATTTGCCCTGCCTACACACCTATTGTGAAGACTGCCTTGCGGACTACATTTCATCATCTTACAAGGAAGAGGAGGGAGGGTTTGTGTGCCCAACATGTCGCTCAGTAAACCAAGTGCAAATTTCGGAGGGCAAATCAGCAAAGACTGTGGCTACAAGTTTTCCGATAAATCACTTAATTGTGACTTTGCTTGATCAACATCAATTAGAAGAGAAAGAGGTAACATGCCAACCTTGTGCTAAAAGAGGAAAAAGCGAAAGTGGCAAATTTTGGTGTTACTCATGCAGTGCTGCACTCTGTGAGGCTTGTGGTGAATTTCATACATCTTTACCTATTCTAGCTGATCACAGAATCGCCCCTATTGATGATTCCAAAGATACAAGTATGCTTGCATCAAGTGTCCATGACCACTGCGATGTTCACACAGGAAAGAAGTTAGAAATGTTCTGTGAAGATCATGATGTTGCTTGTTGTGCAACTTGCACAATGGTGCACCATAGAAAGTGTGAAACAGTTTTGACACTGCAAGATGCGGCAAAAAAATCTTTTGACAAAGACAATAATATAGACAGTGAAATAGAAATGTTGATTCAAAAAATTGATACAAAGGTTGATATCTTAACCAAGAATTATGATAAATTAGAAAAAGACAGTGAAACTCGTGGAAATGAAATTCAAGAATTTAGCGATAAGTTGATAAAACATTTGGTAAAATTGAAAACAGAGTTTGAAACTAAAGTCTCTGAGACTCGTGATACAACAATGCAAATGATTCAAGAGCGTAAACAAGCATTGATCGATATGCAGACGATGCTATCTCATTCTGAAGATCTTCTACAAGCTGCTGAAGAGAAATGTTCCAAAGTACAGCTACTGACACTGTTACCAAAGATTTCCAAGCTTAGGGATGAAAGTAGATGCAAGCTAGAGGAGATGAAGAAAACCCCTATTACACTAGATTCAGAGGTCATCATCGATAAAGCAATTGAACAGTGTGCAACCATAGAAACATTAGGAAAATTGGAATAGAACTTAAGATTATTTTTCATTTCAATACGCACAGGCATGGGCAACTCTTTAGTTGTATTTTATCCTGATCTGTATATGAAAGAAAATTCACTACTTTGTGCAAATATTTAATCGGATTCTTTGATGTAATTTGCAAAATTCTACTGATGCAAACAAATTCATAAATTTTCATTTGTATGTAGAATATGTCTGATTTTGTAAAACTTTATATGTAAATAGAGCATTAAAAATATATGTGGTTTCCATTCAATGCTTTTGCTTTAGTTTGTGACTAATAAAAAGATGGTGTCAGAATTATATCTCATATGAAATAAATTATATTTTGAAAATAAATATTTGCGCACAGGGGTGCACATCAAAATGATATTTGGCTTTTAGGTTCATTTAGAGTGACAAGGGCATATTTCATCCACAATCATTTTTTTTTTTCAACAAGAGTGCCAAAACTGACAGCCTCAACATTTATCAATCTTCTCTGCTTCAGCAAGTTAAATAACCAATTACAAAGGTATTTTGCAAAACAACTAATATAATATTTCTATGAAAAAGTACAAAGATGTGTTAACATACATGTATCATCCTTTCAGGTTGTATTGTGTTAACTAACCTCTCTCTCTCTCTCTCTCTCTCTCCAATGCGTGTAGTCTTACTTTCGAAAAAGATTTAAACCATACTGAACCATATCTTCTGAGAAATGTTGAAAATGAAGCAAAGTTCGTACAAACAAATTGTGATGTGAAATGTCCTGCTAGTGTCTTACTGTCCCCCAGCTATTGTCCCTTCGGTCTGTTTCGCCTGAATTATGAAACTTAGAAACCTTTGCTCTTCAATGGTAAACCAAGCTCCAACGAAGAGTTGTGGGGTTTCTTTTATCTGCTATATGAACCATATGAATCTTTATGTATCGATATAGGGCTAGATGCAGTGTTCTATTTTAAGCTTAAATGTTTAAAATCATTTTATTTTTCATATAATAGTTAGTTTTTAAAGAAAGTTATATTTTTAATGTGCATACAATAATTACGTCCTTGATACAATAAATTTGGGGGAAGAATGCAAGAACTAATATCCATAGGATAATACTGTATTTTATTTTTAAGTACATCATTCTCCCGAATAAAATATATGTAGTTCCTATTTTTAGTCACAATAAATTACATTTTATCCTATGAACTTTCGTTTTTTTTTTTAAATAATATGACACCAACAACACAGAGTCCAATGATAATTTATTTTGACCGAAAATACATATTAGAGTTTTAATTTTCTGTTGACAAATCCATAACCGAGTTAACTTTTTTTCCTTCAAGTGAACCTTAAAAATTTACCATAGTTTCAATTAATGATGAGCAATTTTAAAAGCTTATTCTACAAGTTGATACTTGTATAATTTTGCATTCTCCATGCATCTGGAAAATTATAGAAAGTTTACACTTTTTAAAAAAAAATAATGTAACATAAAATTAATTAAAGATAAAGTTTATGTCATAAGAGATGCATTTATCTACTTTATATATAAACCATATAACTGTATAATACAATTCTAGTTTTTGGATGGCAAAGTAACTTTGTAAGCAAAAAGATATCTTTCATCAACTAAAAATTTCATATGAACATTTATTACACATACAAAGTGAATAAAATTTCCCCTGTACCCATTTTGAATACTGATCTTTCTAATTATATTTTCAAAATGTACGTACGTACGAGGTACGTACTTTAAATTAATTATAATCGCTTCTTTGGTTTGGTAACAGGTAATTCAGAACTGCAAAAACCAAAAGTCAATATCAATATTTGAAAAGCACTACTTTTATCAAAAGTATATGAGTGCAAAAAATATGCCAGTTGTGTTTACTGAGTATATTAAAATGTAAAAGAAAATTCAAAGAAATGAATGCTTCGAGTTTTAATCTCTCTCAATAATCCAAAATGATACTTACTGAAACCAATATACTAAGTAAATGTACAGGCTCTACTGAATTTGCGAGTGTAAGTCACTTAGAGGCTTATTTAAGGAATGTTTTTAAGTTTTGTGTAATTGGTGTGTAATCACAGCTTCATGAAAAATATGCCTACGTGCAAGTCTTTGTGATTTACACACCAATAATTCACACTCAACTAAAAATATTCCTTATATTTACATTTTACATAATTATTCAAAAGCACCAAAAATATACGCAATGTTTGAAATTTTCGCTGCCATATATCGTTACATTTTTATTAACGTCTCTATAGCTCATTGTGACGTTACTTTAGCGCGAGTTTCTCCGTGCATATTTCTACGCGTGAGTAAACACAAAAATTGCAATCAAATCATTTTCACTGTTGGCTTAGTAGGAAAACATTGAAAATGTAAATATATATGTATGTGCATGTCAGGACATTTCGTTTGTCATACTGTTTACGTCCTTGATACATTAAATTTGGGGGGAAGAATGCAAAGACTTATAACCATAGGAAATACTGCATTTTATTTTCAAGTACCTCATTCAGTCATATCATAAAAACAATTTTGCTTAAGATAAAAACAATAAACATAATATTGAAAAACAGTCATATAAAAATAAGTACAAAAATTTACAATGAAATATAAACTACAAATGTGATAGGTAAAGAATTTTTTTCTTCCAATTTATTCATGTAAAGATCTGTGAGATTTAGAGGTCAAAATGGAAAATCATACATCCTTTAACGTGCCAAAATTAGATATGCTGTGTTGATTGAAAGAGAATCTTTTTGGTCCATAAGCTTTCTTGCCAAAATGATTACTTTGAGGTCAAACATTTAGAGCCTATGCTGTCATGACATATCGTCTTGAGTGCAAATATGCAATCTTCTACTATAATGATATGAAAGGGAATGGGAACGAACCCTTTTCAAACAGAATTTAGCCCCAAAAATAATTTGACAATTGAGGAGAAGCAAGGCAATACACATGAAAATACACAATATCTTGTCTTCTCATTCAGAGTTTCATAAATCAAATGCCAAAATTTATTATATTTTGTTAAAAAGATTTTGGAAAAGGGCATTCTGGCAAATCCTGCAGTTTGGGTCTTAGGTTAAAGGTCACTCTATTTTATAAAACAACCACAATCCACTGTCAAGGTTTTAATGCTTTGACCAGTTCTCTCCCAAACCAAACCAAAATAATATGAGAATAATAACTGAAACACACTTTTAATACAGAATTAAAAATTTTGATATTTGCACTGCAAACAATTTTGCGATATATTCTAATGGGAAATATAGTTCTATCCTACTTTTCCCTGTTTGAAACTGAATATCTAACACTTCAGCTATAAACAAGGCGCAAAATCATGAATTAAAGTAACACTTCATTTTTGAACGTAAATATCTGCTATATTATTGTTTTTCCGACCTCCTCTTATAATACAGACCCTGTTCTTCTGGTGGGATATTGCAAGGGTTGTTGGATTCAATCCAACTTCAAATTTATCTATGATGGTGCCTTTCTTGTCTAGAACGTGGAGGTACTTTGAACCCTTCTCGCAAACATATACCTTTTTATATTCATCAAGGAGGATGCCGGCTGAACCTTTCATTTCACTGATGTTCTTCTTGAAACGTTCTTGACCATTGCCCATTACACAATAGACATTATTCCCTTTCATTTCGCTATAAAATATAAGATTGTTGCTACATGCGCAGACATATCGAATATTTGTCCCTGGTACCTTCCGCCTCTTGCTCTCTTTGAATTCTCTATCAAATAGCACAATAGTATTTTCACCTGCAACGATGGTTATTCCAGAATTCAGGTGATACACCCCGAAACAAGGGAAGGAAACGTCAATGTCTTGAACTTTTGAGAGGTCTGGCAGATTGTACACCATTATTTTGTTTTTTGTTGGAAATGTAATGACACATTGTGTACTACTAACGACTGTTATGTCGTAAGGTTTATATTCTAAAGTAGCCACTCTTTTTCGACTATCATCCTGCGTGTTATATATCCTTACTTCATTGATTCCATCCACTACTATTATTTCACTTTCTGATAACCAGTCGCACCCTGTTACATGTGAATCCCCCTCTTCAATGTCTATTGTTTTCATGTGAACAAACGTGAGTTGTCCAAACTGCATAAACCTTGCTACTAACTCAGGTTGTATTTTTCTAACAATTCCAAACTCTTTTAAGATGCTCAGTTCTTCTAGAGGTTTTTCAAACACAACAGAAATATTTTGAAGTTTTTCCTTTATTTCAATGTCTACAAATTTCTGTACATCAGAAATAGTACGTTTTACCTTCTTTTTGTCGAGGAAAGAACGTATATCGGATCCAGACATAGACATCGAAACGATGTGTTTTGCATTTTATAAAATAGACTTCTTTTGTTGTAAAGATGTTACATTCAATTTGAAATTCTGTAATTGTGAAACAGCAATCCTACTGGTGTCTGCATAAAACGAATGTGTTTTAGCTAGGATATTACTTCGTGTCTCATCAAATGTTTTATTAATCAATATAAGATACTGACCAAAGATTTCTTGAACATTTGACAGAATTTCGCCTGTTTCAAGTATTTTGTTGTTAAGCTCTTCTATTAATGTCCTGACAGAAGTTTTCATTGCAAACATTTTTGGATCAACCAAAGCTGAAACGGAATCATCTGATATATCTTTATGGTCACCGAGGCAAAGGCCCATGTGCTCAAATGATACACATTCATTGCAACATGCACTTTCTCTTAACAAACAGAGTCTGGTTAGACGCGATCCATGTTTATCGCATATTTCTCTTGCTTTAGAAAATAAAAGAGTCCCATCTGGCATTTCATCTTTCTGATAAATTTTGTGTTTCTTTAATATTTGCAAGGATGAGTGAAATAAAAAACACTCTCCACAAAGGTTAGCATTGCAATCAAAACACCAACATGTTGATTGGCTTATTTTTCCTCGATTCTTACATGGTGTACATCCATGTTCCGTTTTCTTTTCACAGCATTCTAGGAGAGTTAAAATAACTTGAGGAGGAGATAGGGATAGTTTAATGCTTTCAATAATATCCTCTTCGTTTCGAACACATGGTACGTAAGTCAGATAGTTGCATGCGTGACAACACAGTGGAAGGATATCTCTATCTGGCTCTGTTGTCTTGTTCACTTTAATAACTTTAATTAGACATTCTTGGCACAGCAAGTGCAAACAATGCAATATTACTGGTGCATCCAATCTTGTTTTGCAAACAACACAGCTGAAGATT